GGACCCAGAGACTTCTCATGAACGGATCCGTGTCGTCTTGGCGCGAAGCGGCCAGTGGCGGCCCTCAGGGGTCCATGCTCAGACCGGTGCTTTTCAACATTTTTATCAATGATTTGGACGGGGGAGTGAAAAGTTCGCTGGCCAAGTTTGCGGATAACACCAAGTTATGGGGCAGTGTGGCCATGCCAGAAGATCAGTTGCCGATACAGGCAGACCTGGACAGGCTCAAGAGTTGAGCAGACTGGAACCAGATGAAGTTTAACACTTCCAAGTGTAAGGTGCTCCACCTGGAGGCAAATAACCCTCAACTCACACACAGGCTTGGAGGTGACAGCCCGACCTGTCCCATGGCTGAAAGGGACCTAGGGGTAACGACTGACCATCGCGTGAACATAAGCCGACAGTGCGATGTTGTCTGCCCTGCTGGCCACTGTACGCTGGCATGCATCAGCCGATGCATCTTGTGTAAAACTAAGGAAGTGATACTTCCGCTGTACTCCGCCCTGGTGAGACCGCAGCTGGAGAACTGCGTCCAGTTCTGGGCACCGCACCTCAATAAGGACGTAGAAAAACTTGAGAGGGTCCAGAAAAGAGCCATGTGTATGATCAGGGACTTGCAAGGCAAGCCATATGAGGAAAGGCTGAGGGACCTGGGCCTCTTTAGCCTAAAGAGAAGGTTGAGAGGGGACTTGGTAGCGGCTCACCACTATATCACAGGAGTGCATCAGGAGCTCGGTGACCAGCTGTTCACTAGGGCAGCCCTGGGGAAGACCAGGAGCAACGGGGCCACTTCAGGCTTAATACCAGGAAAAACTCCTTCGCAGTCAGGGTGTCCAGACTGTGAAATAAATTTCCTCCACCTACCCTAGCGGTTTTCAAGAGGAGACTGGACAGTCACCTTGCGGGGGTCACTTGACCTCAGATGTCTTCCTGCCTAGAGTGGGGGGGCTGGACCCAATGACCTGCCAGATCCCTTCCAGCCCCCAACAACCTATGAATCCCACACTGCATCCATCTGTCCTCTCACCACTGCTACAGCTCCTCACTCTGGGATGAAACCAGAACTCTATTGCCCTCTTTTCAACTATTCTTGGCATGTTTTGTTTTGAAATCACTGCACTGCCTTGCACTACTCGAGCACCAACATCTAACCACCAGCTGGGTCATTGCTCCGTACCTGACCACAGCGCCTCAGCATCACCCCGAGACCTCAGGAGCCCAAAAGCATCAGGCCAAGAATTCTGCCCCTCACCCCCAACCCACAGCCTCCTGGTCCCAGCGTTGCCTCTCACTCCCAACCCGCAGCCCCTCATTATACCTAGCAGTGCCTCTCATTCCTGACCCGCAGCCCCTCCTGTTGTAAGCAGTGCCCCTCACTGCCAACCTGCAGCCCGACTTGTACTCAGTGGTTCACCTCACTCCTGACCCAGCCCCCCACACACATGCACAGCAGTCCCCCTCACCCCTGACTCGCAGCCCCTGTTGTAATGGTGCCCTCTATTCACAGCAGTGTCCCTCACTCCCAACTGGCAGCCCCCTCCTGGATCCAGAGGTGCCCCTCCCTCCCTCCCTGCAGTCCTTTTCCCAGCAGTACCCCTCACTCTCGACCAGCAGCCCCCTCTATTTGCAATGGTGCCCCTCACTCCTGACCTGTAGCTCCCCTCATGTATGCAGCAGTGGCCCTCACTTCCAACCCGCACCCCCCTGGTCCCAGTAGTGCCTCTCACTCCTGACCCAGAACTGTGGGTTGGAAGTGAGGGGCACTGGCAGGGCTGGGGCTCGGGGGTGAGAGGCACAGGTGGGGCTGGTGGGAATGAGGGGCTGTGGGTTGGGAATGCTGGGCACTGGCGGGGCTGGGGGGAATTGAGGGGCTGCAGGTTGGGAGCCAGCGGCACCAGCAGGGCTGATGGGGAGTGAGGGGCACCAGTGGGGATGAGGAGCTGCAGGTCAGGAGTGAGAGGCACTGGCGAGGCTGGCGGGAATTGAGGGGCTGTGGGGTTGGGAGTGAGGAACACTGGCGGGGTTGGAGGTTGTGGGTCAGGCATGAGGGACACTGACGGGGCTGGCAGGAATTAAGGGGCTGTGGGTCGGAAATCAGGGTGTCCAGACTGTGGAATAAACTCCCTCCAGAGGTGGTGCAGTCACCTACCCTGGAGGTTTTCAAGAGGAGACTGGACCGTTCCCTCACTGGGGTCACTTGACCCCAGTTATCTTCCTGCCTAGAGCAGGGAGAGGCTGGACCTGATGATCTGCGAGGTCCCTTCCAGCTCCTAACACTCTATGAAACCTATAAACTACATTTAAACCAGGGTAAGTGTTACATGCATCCCTGCCCTCCCTTTCCTGAATTCAAGGCAGGTGGTAAGAGTAAGTTCCCTTCAGCTCCATCACCCACTTCACACCAGCTGGAGAAGCCTTTGGATTCATGCACTTCAGACAGTGACTTCAAACTAACCCCGACCCCAGGCACAATCTCACCTGAAGAACAAGAGGCAAGAAGGACACTTGAGCAGCGTTGCTGTTTATTGCAATCGCACTGCTCCAGTATAACCACTAGCAAGACAGCACAACTGTTTAGCATTATATGACTTTTGTGTTTGCAAGGCAGAGCTTGCAGTGTCCAGGGACACAGAGTTACTAACCAGGAGTACAGTAGTGGGGACACGGTTGCCCAAGCCCAAGGTAGGGAGCTTGAGTGCTGATATGGCTGAGCACGGCTGCAGCCAGCAGGTGGTCTGAAGCCTCAGCCTGCCATGAAAGGAGCAACTCTGCTTGGCACCTGAGCCAATCTTGACATTTTGCAGTAAGTAAAAATAATCCAGTTCAATATGTCCATAAAAACAAGCAGGCTCTGAACATCTGTAGCACTGGGGGTGGGTGGGTGTGAATGAATAAGTTCTAAAAAAGCTTTTCAGTATCTTCCTCTACAGGTGCTGGGAAGAGTCACCACAGGAGCTCACAAAGAAATGCTTAAAAAACAAGGTGTGGTGCAGATCCCTCATCACTGGGGAGCGCTGAGCAGACGGACTGGGTTTCAAGATGCAAGTCCACTGTCAGGCTTATCATGGGGAACAGAGTCCTGCGAAAGCCCAGGCCTCTGCTGCTTGGCACAAGGCTGCAATGGAGAAGCCACATGGGCAAGCCTGTCAAACTGGTGGCCAGGACACTGGCAGATGCCATGTTCAGCCAAGCTCGGGCAGGCAACAGACATTACATGCAATGAGGATTTTCCTCTCCATAGCTAGGACTGCATGAACATAACAGCAAAACCTGCCTGACCTGGCAGTTTTCCAGTAACTTCACTAACGATGCTGATAGTCTTTCCTTCTTGGAGCAAGCCTGGCCACCAAGCAAGCTGGTTTAACCCAAGTGTTGTGTGTGACATTCTGGTCACAGGTTTAGTGGCAACTACCGAGAGGGCTCAAGTTTGCATGACTTGCTGCAGCAGGAGCAAGCGTCAAGTCCCATGATTTTGCAATGTGGAAGAGGGAAGGGAAGCACCAAGCCTGCCCACTGTCGCTGGCCAGACCCTGAGGAAAAAATAAAATGCTGTCGTATTAATATATAAGAGCACAAGTCCCATCTGCACAGAGCCAGGGGGAAGGGGACAGCTCCAGCCGTAAGGGACAGTATTTACATATTTACAACATAAATTAGTGTAGGGAGATGGTAATATTCAAGGAAAGGCTGGCATGGGACAGGTGGGTCCTTTGCGCAGTCGAGTTGCTAATAAAACAACCTGGAATAGATTCAAAAGCCCCCCTGGGGGCTGCTGAAGCCTTGGCATGGAAAGAACCTGTGGAGAAACTGCTGATCCAGTTACTCTGGTCAAGGTATGGAGGTGTAGAGCTTTCCCATCTCTGTGTCCTAAGCCACTGTCCAGCTCAGCAGGGGCTCAGACTCCATTGGCACTGGCCTTGCTGCTCTGAGATGCTTCCATTTTCATCTAGATTGAAGAGAGAGGTACAGGTTATCGGTAACTCAGACACCACCAGTCTCAGCACTTACTGACATCGGCTAAATGTTCAGGTTTCCAAAGCCACCTTTGACAGCTTGACACATCCTCAACTGAACACAGAGTGCAGGCACTGTAGCAGATAGCTTGTACTTGACACACCAACTTGTTAACATGACCACCACATTTCTTCAGTCAGGGTAAAGGACGTGATTTTTCCTCCCCACAAGGAATGTGTCAACTTCCCTAAACAAGCTTACTGAAATTGGTAGTGTAAGAGTGAAGCTGTAGCTCTGATGGTCCAGAAATTATGTGAGGCCAGGATTTATTAGGGTGATATCTTTTACTGGACCAACTGTATCACTAGGAGACCTGACAGCACCCAAGCCCACCTGATGTTATCCCAATGACATAGTTGGGCCAGTAAAACATCTTGCCCTAAGAAATCCTTGCCCCTGGCTGAAATCCACACTTCTGCACCTAAAGAGCTGAGCATGTGTGGATAGTGAAGAGCTAGGCAAGGGCAGCCTTGCCTGGCTTACAAAAACACAGCTTAGTTTTGATCCTCATTTCAAAATAATGAATCAAAGCCTGGCCCAAGCTCTCTCAGCTCACCTCTCCTGGATGGGGCTTCACTGATACTTCAGGGACAGGCAACTTCTCTGACGGCTGCAATATCATTTCTTCGTCCTTTGAGAAAAGCATAAAAGGCATTTTAATACTCACAGAGCACCCAGAGGGTGGAGGTGACCTGCTGGGACCCTGGCCAAACCTTTCTGCTGCTGCTGTATGGCTGTTCCCTGCCGTACCTTTCTGCAGTTTATCCTTTGATACAGTGGGACACTCAGCCCTTCTCTCAGGGGACTGTTCCACAGCAAGTGCCCACTGGGACAGCTACTTTCCCCATAAGTTCATCCTGCAGTTGCTGCTGGTTTTTGCACCTTTGCACCTGTCACTCACCAAACTTTGGGCATTTAGCCCTTTCTGCAGCACTGTTCCCAGCAGCATGCAGGGGTCTTGTTCACCTTGTGCCCTGTGCACCAGGCAGCCGTGCCAGCTAGGAATGCTGCAGGACAGCCCTTGCCTTCTTAAGGCCTGGGAAAGGTGCATACATTTGCTCCTCCAGGAGCACAGCACAATCACCACCTGTGGAGAGTCACTTGCTAACCTTCAATCCCTGCATCACAGGCGCAGAATCCACCAAGACCTCTTGGAGGACCGAGCTCCCTGCAGCAGCCTCACTCCTCTGAGCCTGCAAGGAACAGAAATCTCTGTTTGTCGCGTGCAGTTGAAGCAGTTCAGCAGATGCTACAGTGTGCCCAAGGTGCTGAATTCCAACCTCAATTCACTCCTGCTTCTCTCAGGAGCTATTAGGCACTTACTAAGAGATGCCAACAGAAGGAATTCCCTGCCTGTCTGGGAGGCGACAGGGCAGATTTGCCCGGTGAACCCCAGTGCAAGTGCACTGAGTGCTGTGTAGACACCTTGGAAGAGAGACCTGAGCACCTTCAACCCAACAGCTCAATGCAAGCTGTGCCTGCTCAGTCCTCCTGCCCACTGGGCCCTTTCCCACCTCTCTGGAGCTTCCTGTGTGCCATGCAGGCACCCTCAGCACAAAGAGCAAAACCCTCATTTGTCAAGCTCCTTTCAAAGCACAGGTCAAGTCTCTCATGCTGCTGGGGGAACACCAAACTGCCAGGATCTCCAGCAGAGGCTCTGCAGTGACTGCTCTGCTCCGAGTAGGAAGCAACTCATTCAAGTCATGTGTTTGGGATGGAAGCCTCATAGAAAAGTAAGATGCTTTACAAGTTGCTTAGTTAAGTGGCGACAACTATTCAGGTGCCAACAGAAGCCAACCCACCCCTCTTCCCATTTCTGCCAAAGTCAGCTGGGAATGAACTAGCTGGAACAGCTGGGGCATCAGGGTGGCAAAGATGCATTCCTGGGACACAGCCAGTCAATACAAGGGGCAAGAGAGGGTGTCCAGTGACTGTACCACAGGACGTGCTCAGTGTGCATCTAAACCCTTCCCTGGTGGTGAGCACAAGGAACCTGATGGGCATAAATTTTGGCTTGTTCACTAGAAAGCAGCTCTCAGGCAATCTGGTACTCGGCCACTCACCTCCACCGGTGGCACTGGAATGGGCTTTGGCTTTACGTCGATCAAGTACAAGGCACGAGAAAGTAGGAGCAGGGAGGGGGGAACGTTCTCCTTTAGATGAAGATCCAGCCACTGTGTAAGATAGGGAGGGAAGAGGGCAGGAGGGAGAGACAGTTATTTACAACTGGGTTAAAGAACTACAAAAAACTTGAACATGCCAGCTGTTGAAACACCAACTCTCCTAAAGCCACGGGCACACACAACACTTAGCCTGGTTTAAGCACAACTTAAACTTCAAACAAACAGACAAATAGGGCTGTCATGAATTTAAAACAGCCTGGAACAGGTAAAAAAAGTGCACTTAGAAAATAAGGTACTCCTGAAGGGTTCACAGCACACCAAACCAGTGTTACATGTACACCCGCAGCATTTTGTGACACAGGTCTGGGAATTGCTCCAAGCATCAACATCTTTATCAATGATTTCGATGGGGGAGTGAAAAGTTCGCTAGCCAAGTTCACGGATGACACCAAGTTATGGGGCAGTGTGGCCATGCCAGAAGATTGGTTGCTGATAGACGGACCGAGACAGGCTCGAAAGTTGGGCAGACCAGAACCAGATGACATTTAACACTTCCAAATGTAAGGTGCTCCATCTGGGGGCAAATAACCTTCAACATACATACAAGCGCGGAGGTGCCAGCCTGACCTGCATCATGGGTGAAAGGGACCTAGGCGTAGCGTTCGACCATCGCATGAACAGAAGCCATTGGTGCGATGTGGTGGCCAGCACAGCAAACAACACACTGGCATACATCAACCAATGCATCTCGTGTAAAACTAAGGAAGTGCTACTCCCGCTGTACTCAGCACTGGTGAGACCGCAGCTGGAGTACTGCATCCAGTTCTGGGCACCGCACTTCAATAAGGACATGGAAAAACTTAAGAGGGTCCAGAAAAGAGCCACCTGTATGATCAGAAACTTGCAAGGAAAGCCATACGAGGGAAGGCAGAGGAACCTGGGCCTTTTTAGCCTAAAGAAGAGAAGGTTGAGAGGGGACTTCGTAGTGGTTTACCACTATATCAGAGAAGCTTGCTGAACAGCTGTTCACTAGGGCATCCCTGGGGAAGATCGGGACCAATGGATATGAACTCCTGGAAGGCCGCTTCAGGATTAATACCAGGAAAAACTCCTTCCCAATCACAGTGTCCAGGCTGTAGAATAAACTCCCTCCAGAGGTGGTGTAGTCACCTACCCTGGAGGTTTTCAAGAGGAGATTGGACAGTCACCTCACTGGGGTCACTTGACCCCAGCTGTCTTCCTGCCTAGAGCGAGAGGGCTGGACCCGATGATCTGCAAGGTCCCTTCCAGCCCCTAACCATCTATGAATCCCATGCTGCATCCATCTGTACTTTCACCACTGCTACAGCTGCTCACTCTGGGATGAAACCAGAACTCTACTGCCCCATTTTTAACTATTCTTAGCATTTTTATTTTTATTTTTTGAAATCACTGCACTGCCTTGCAGTGCTCGGGCACCAACATGGATCTAACTAACCGCCAGCTGGGTCATCGCTCCCTACCCGACCACAGCCTCTCAGCATCACCCCAAGACCTTGGGAGCTCAAAAGCATCAGGCCAAGAATTCTGCCCCTCACCCCCAACCCACAGCCTCCTGGTCCCAGCGTTGCCCGTCACTCCCAACCCGCAGCCCCTCATTATACCTAGCAGTGCCTCTCATTCCTGACCTGCAGCCCCCCTGGTCCCAGTGGTGCTCCTCACTCCCGACCCACAACCCCATTCCCAACGGTGCCTCTCACTCCTGACCCGCAGCCCCCTCTATTCGCAGCAGTGCCCCTCACTCCCAACTGGCAGCCCCCTCCTGAACACGGCAGTGCCCCTCACTCCCATCCCACAGCCTCCCTTTTCCTAGCAGTACCCCTCACTCTGGACCCACAGCCCCCTATTTGCAGTGGTGCCCCTCTCTCCTGACCCATAGCTCCCCCCATGCATGCAGCAGTGGCCCTCACTCCCAATCTACAGCTCCCCTGTGCCCAGCAGTGCTTCTCATTCCTGACCTAAAGCTGTGGGTCGGGAGTAAGGGGCACTGGTGGGGATGAGGGCTGTGGGTCAGAGCTAGGGGCTGATGGGGAGCAAGGGGCACCAGCGGGGATGAGGGGCTGCGGGTCGGAAGTGAAAGGCATTGGTGGGGCTGGAGGAAATTGAGGGTTTGCAGGTCAGAAGTGAGGGGCACCAGCAGGGCTGGTGGTAATAGAGGGGCTGTGGGGTCGGGAGTGAGGGGCACTGGCGGGGTCGGAGGTTGTGGGTCAGGAATGCGAGGCACTGGCAGGGCTGGTGGGAATTGAGGGGCTGCAGGTCAGGAGTGATGGGCACCAGCAGTGCTGATGGGGATTAGGGCCTGCAGGTAAAGACAGAGGGGCTCTGGCAGGGCCGGGGGCTGCGGGTCGGGAGCGAGGGACACTGGCAGGGTTGGCAGGGAGGAGGGGCTGTGAGTCCGGAGTGAAGAGGCACCAGTGGGGCTGGCGGGGACAAGGGGTTGTGGGTCAGGTGCCAGGGGCATGGGCAGGGCCATGTCTTCTGGGCAGGAGTGAGGGCCACTGGCGGTGTTACTGGGGATGAGGAGCTGTGGGTCGGGCATGAGAGGCACTGACAGGACTGGCAGGAATTGAGGGGCTGTAGGTCAGGAATGAGGGGCACCAGCAGGACCGGAGATTGTGGGTTGAGAGTGAGGGACATTGGCGGGGTTGGGGGCTCAGGGTCAGAAGTGAGAGGCACTGGTGGGGCTGGTGAGGCTGAGGGCTGTGGGTTGGGAGTGAGGGGCACTGTTGGGGCCAGGGGATGTGGGTCAGGAGAGGGCACCGGTGGGATTAGGGACTGACGGTCAGGAGTGAGAGGCACCCGTGAGGCTAAGGGATACCAGTTGCGAGTGAGGGGCACCGGCGGGACTGGCAGGGATGAGGGGCTGGGAATGAGGGGCACCAGCGGGGCTGGCGGGCCTGAGGGCTGCGGGTCAGGAGTGAGGGGCACCAGCAGGAGCAGGGGCTGCAGGTCGAGAGTGAGGGGCACCAGTGGGTCCTGGGGCTGCAGGTCGGGAGTGAGAGGCACCGGTGGGGCTTGTGGGATCGAGGGCTGCTGGTCGGGGAGAGGGAACCAGCAGGGGGGCAGGGGCTGGGGGCTACAGGTTGGGAGTGAGGAACACTGGCAGGTCTGGGTGCTGTGGATTAGGAGTGAGGGGCACCTGTAGGGCTGGTGGGACTGAGGGGCTGCAGGTCAGGAGCGAGGGACATCTGTGGGGCTGGTGGGGATTAGGGTTTGTGGGTCAGGAGTGAGGGGCACCGCCGGAGCCAGGGACTGTGGTTTGGGAGTGAGGGGCACTGGCAGAGCTGGCAGGGATGGTGGGCTATGTGGAGCTGGTGGGGCTGTGGGTCAAGAGTGAGGGGTGCCAGCAGAGCTGGTGGGTGCAGTAGGTCTGGAGTATGGGGCTCTGGAGGGGTCAGGGGCTGCAAGTTGGGATTGAGGGGCACCAGCAGTGCCAGGGGCTGTGGGTCAGGAGTTAGCGGCACTGGCAGAGACAGGGGCTGTTGGAAAATCCAAGTTTTTCCTGTGTTTTTCCATGGCAAATCTGGATCTCTTGCTTATCAGTCACTGTGCCTCTTTTGCCTGGACCATATCATAACTTGAACAGTTCTTGTTCTCATTCTCAACTTTAGACAAAGCAGCTTGGATGGGTATAGGAGCTGCAAAAGTTCTCAGGGGGAGGCCCACCATCCACAAGGCCAACTTACTTAAAGGCAGACTGCCCCAACAGGGTTCCTCCATGTAGCTACAAACTACATGCTCAGTGTGAGAGATATGTGAATGCGTTCAATCTGCATGCATGAATCTTAAGTTACTTTCTGTTGAATCTGCTAATGCCAATGCATGAATACTTCACTTTGTTTACAATGTGTCCTGGGCCTGCCAGTCTGGCAGCACTCTTCCCCACACTTGCGGCTAGGGTTATTAATTTGTGAATGCCTTGGACAAATAAAACCATGCTCCAAGACTGTAGCAGACGTGACTACTTGCCTGTCTGAGTTGTTCTTTGAGCTGCTCCTCTGAGAGACCCAGCGACCTCATTCCTCTGGCCCTACATGCGCTCTGCAGTTCAGATACACTTAGGCCATTAACGCCTTCCTTGGCAATCATCTGAAAGGAAAGGGGACAGTCACATTCAGGCTAGGGGAAGCCAAACCCCCAGTCTGCTTACTGAACCTGGGGCCAAGAAGGTGCCGGCTTGGATCAAGGGGAGCCAAGAACAAACAAACAATTCCCAGCAGTACAGACAGGAAAGGTCACCCTGAAATTCAGCACATAAAATCAGCTCTTTAAATGCATGTCAGGCAAGAGCATAAGTTGCTTAACTGCAGAACACAAAGCCAATCCTAACTTTTGCCTATTGCTGGTCTTATAACAAGCAGTGGCTATCTGCATATTGGTTCAGCCCCACTGTTCACCTTCTAATCTAACTGGACTCCACTGAACTGCATAATTGGTGTTACGCAAACAGCTGTCAAAGGGCAGCTAATCACAAGCTCTTCTAGCCAGCTTTGGGGCTGCCAGCAGAAGCCTTGAAACAGAGCAGAGCCAGGAGATTTCAGGGCTGCCAATACAATGCTGTACGCTTAGGAACATTGCTTATATTTGGATAAGTGCATGGTCTTTTTTCAGCCCTCAGGTTATGCACTGTAGCCCATTCTCTACTGTCTCTACCCAAATACAGCTAAAATAAATACACTTTGAGCCCGATCCTCCCAAACACTCAGAAGCATCTTCACTCGCGTACCTCCGTTAAGTCAGGTCCACAAACACTTTTGGGGTTGTGTCCAAGAAGGCCCTGGGGATTGAGCCACACTGCTTCCCTAAAACTTTTTTAGGAGAATCCCACTTCTATCAACACTACGCTCATCCCACTTCTGTCATATAGGCAGGGACACACCTATCACACTAGAGACTGGCAAGCTGCTATGTAGAGAGGGAAGGAATCAGAAATGAGCTCATCAGGAGATTAGTGTCTGTGCTATTTCACTCTAGACTCTTACCTTATCATCTGCTTTTATAGTCCTCAGCTGCATCAGAAGCTGGAAGCGGAGTAGGTTATTGGTGCCAAGGGGCTGCAGTTCAAGCAGTTTGCAGAGTGCTACCAACTGGGGCCGTTCCAAATGCTCAAGGGTCAGCTCATCCTCAAAAAGCTTGGAGAAGCGCACGATCTCCTGGGTACTGGGCTGGTGGCCAGTATGACGAACCTGTGCAGGGCAAAAGCATTAGATAAGAACGGACTGTGGAAACCAGCAACAGAGCCGAATAGAGAACCCAGGAGTCCCAAATCCAGGCCCCACACTCCCTCCCAATACATTTCATAGTGACGTTTTTTTCTTGCTGGACACCTCTAAACTGATATGGTTACCAGTCAAGAGAAAAAAAAACAAAAACACAGAAGGGGCTTTGAGTGGCTGCGTAAAAGCTTCACTCTGTGAAAGGTTTTCTGCTCATTACAACTACCATTAAGATAGGAAAAAACAAGGATAATCTGGAGAGCTGGGTTTAAAAGGATGGCCAGCCTTGCCAGTTGGTAAGCCACCAGTGGGGAGAAGGTTAATCAGTAACCTCTTCCACATGTATTCACGCCTGACAGCACAGTTCAGGTACTTCTGCTACAAGTTCCAACAGCGGCACAATGGCTGCATCTCTCCTCCTTGCAGCTAGACAGGAACAAGAGTCTCTCTCCAGTTAGTGTTTAATTAAAAAAGTCTCTCCACCCAGTGAAACCCAAATTGAGCAAAGTGCAAGCTCTGTTCCTGGGCTCGGCAGATAAGCTTTCCGGAGAATTTACTTACAGAGAGGCTTAACAACAGTACTGCACTATGTTACAACCTGCACAGAAACTAATACCTCTTATGTGAGAAGTGGTGGAAAGAAACTGGGTCTGTTGATCTACTGTAGTTAAAAAGGTTACTTTGCAGATCCTCCGCAGTCTTTTTTGTATACAAATGCCTGCCTCCCTAGTCTCCAGAAACCAGAGCCTTTAGAAGGTTTTGGCATATGCCCACATGGCCACCCTGTCCACCCAGTCTCACCTACTGTCCCACTTCTGTACCTGCTGTACATAGGAGGAGAACTGTTTGGTGGCCTCTCCCGTGTCTGCTTTGTTCCTTCTTGCCATCTCTGCAATGGTCTCCTGCAGGAATTTTGCCAGCTCTAACTTTGCACTTAATTTCTTCCTCTGTTTTTCCTCCTTCATGTGAGAAACAAAAAAGTTAGAGGCTCAGCTTGACTGGGATGGTGGGGTGGGGAACTACCCCAACTTTCTCCCTTATTATTGAAACTATGTGATTCCCCTAAAGGAAACGTGCCCCCTCCTCTTGCTATGGATGTCAAGGTTCTCTGGGTTTGTTTTTTCCTTTATTGCTTTCTTCAGAAGTACTGGCTGTTGGCTGTAGCCCAGGGATTGTGACTGGAGTGTGCATATGCTCCTGCTAGGCCTAAAATCTGGAGGCTGCCCCCCTACTCAGAATCAGGCTGATTGCCACAAATAGAGGTTAGGAAAGAATTTTAGCTCATGGTCAGACTATAGGAGTTTTTTTCTACAGGGGCCCCTGTAGCATGGCCCCCTTCCATGGATCTCAGGTGTCTTTGAGCAACCTTTCATTTGTGTGACAGGGTCGATTGTGTAGTTTTAGGAACAGGTTAGACAAGAATTTGTATGGGATGATTAGGAGACAGAAGCCTCTTTTGGATGGATCCTGCCTTGAGCAGGGGGCTGAGCTAGATGACCTTTGGAGGTCCCTTCCAGCCCCACTTATTTATGATTCTATGAATTACCACAGGAGGGAAAAAATCTGAAGGCAGACCCTTTTCCATCCTCTCCCAACCCCCATTACTGTTGCTGACTAGTTTTGGCACTTTGGTTTGTATAACTGAAGTACACAGGGCACTTTCACCTCCACTTACCAGACTGATACTACAAACAGGATATATGCGCACTTTCACAAAAATATAAAATCATAATGAATGTTTGAAATCGACCTAATTCTAAACTCTAGCCCAGGACAATATGGTAATTACTAATCCCAGGTTCTTACAGTTTTAATATGAATTATTCCTATTACAGGAAACTGTTATGACCAAAATAACTTTCTTTTGCATGTAACAATCATTTAAATGCACATGATTTGAGGTTAAGTTTTATCAGATACACGTAACTCAATGAAAGAATCATTAGTATTGGCTTGATCATGGTCCTAGAAAACAGAACAGCACAGGAAGGCAACAAACCGCACATAAGGCAACAGATGCTGAGATTCTGGCAAACCTCTGAAACTTCAGCAAGCGAAACTCTCTTTTGCCTGCCAGTCTACCTTACTGATTGCTGGGGAATATTTTTTAAGGTAAAAGAATATATTT